ATTTTATCTGATATTTTATCTGGCATTCTATCTGACAAATTTTCTGGTATTCTATTTGGCAAATATTCTGGCACATTATTTGACATACCTTTTTACATTCTATTTGGTATACCTTCTGGCATTCTATCTGACATATTTTCTGGTATTCTATCTGGCAAACATTCTGGCATTTTATCTGGCATATCTTCTGATATTCTTTTTGATATTTTATCTGGTGTTTTATCTGGTATATTTTCTGGCATTCTAGCTGACCGTTGAGGTCCAGCGGTGCTTATTGAGCTCGGAAGGTTCCAGATTGAGGTCCAGCGGTGCCCAGTGCGATCAAACCCTTGCAGTTGAGGTCCAGCAGTGGCCACTGCGTGCGGAAGTTGGCGAAGAGCTTGGCGAAGAATTGGCAAGGCGGATATGGACATGGAAATTCAGGCAGAGATGGTGGAAAAAAACAAGGAGGAGGAGAAAAAAAAAATCTGATAAAATCTAACAACCCTCATCTGGCAGGTGGGGAATAATTTTTATATCAAATTTCAGAATTTTGAAATATTATATTTAATAAATTAATTTTAAAAATTTAAATATGGATACGGTATTAAATATTTAAATATATATATATATAAGTTCGGATCCCGGATCCCTGGCCCCATCCCCCCATGGTATGGTTCCCCAAGTTCACGCTCCTGGCCCCCCCCCATGGTATAGTTCCCCAAGCTCACGCTCTCGGGAATACGAAACACGGGACCATACATACATACATACATCATCCATCCATCCATCCACCCACCCATCCACCCATCCCCCCATCCACCCATCCACCCACCCACCCATCCATCCATCCATACACACACAGACATACATACATACATTACATTACATTACATTAAATTAAATTACATTACATTACATTAAATTACATTACATTACATTCATATATACATACCAACATGCCAACATGCCAACATGCCAACATACCAATATACCAACATACCAACATGCCAACATACCAACATACCAACATACCAACATACAAACATACCACAGGCCACAGGGGGGAGGGACCAGAAGAACCATACCACCACCACAGACCACAGGGGGGGGGGGACCAGAAGAACCATATCACC